CATTCTCCTGGGTTTTTACTGGTCGCTGTGAGAACACCAGTTCCGAGGGACCTCCTGAGACCAGGAGCACAATTTATTGCTTTAGGATAATGGGTCAGAAAAGGGGAAACATTTGCAACCGGGAGGGTCAGGTTCGGTGTCCTAGTGGCCAGAGCCAAGGGTGAGGAGATGTTGCGGAACAGAGGTGGCCAAACGCGTGGGATAAAGGAGGGCAGTGTAGGCGAAAAACTCTATCCTAGATACCCTAGATGCTTGGACCATGTGTAGGGGGGGTTCTGGAAGGCCAGCAGGGGAAGTCAAGTCTCCAAGTCGTGGTTCAGTCTCAAAAACAATAAATTTGTACTTTGAATTCGACAACAATTTTCTTCCTTTTCAATGAAACAGTTTTTTTTTTTACCAACCCACATGGGTCAGTTTCATACGTTACTGCCCACAAACTCGTAAGCCTGCTTTGTGTTGGCATTGTTGTTAAGCACTCCGTCCACCGGGGGGCAGGCTTCACTTTCCCCTTGCCATCTTCGAACTCTCACAACTGGTCTTTGCGATATCTCTCTCCCTGTGACCCCACGAGATGTCAAGGTATCAAAGAGATCACCTTCTCGTAGTCGTCCTTCAAAGAGTTCTACCATTGGACAACCGGTGTGGTTGTCTCGTCTTACCGCTCCATTTCCTCCATTTGAAGTACGCTTCCGCACGGTCACCAGAAAAATGTTACAGACTTTTGCGTGTAACGAACACCAAGAATGAACCCAAGACTCCACTATTTGAGGTCGAGTATAATCTGGTAAATAGTTCCGGTACATTTCTAGTCCTGTTGATCACACAAAACACCTAACATCTACCTGAGACAAACATGGCTGCTGTGTGACCTACCTAGCCTGCAATCGAACTAACAACCGACTGAACTACAGCCGTGTTGGTTTATGCACCGACAGCCAACCAACTTGTCGACTTGCGTGTACTGTACGATGGGGTTCTGGTTTCACCTGGTGAGAGTGGCTCCTCAGGCACCTGGGGACATTCAGTAAGGTGGGTGGGGTGAGGGTCGGGGGGGGGTTAATTACCGTACTGAACCTTGTTGACTTTATCAGTGAAGGTTGACTAAATACTGTGCTCCCAGTCTTACGAGGGGCCCCTAAGGACCACCGAGACCCACTGAGGGTCCAGTTGGTATTTAGTCCAGACGAAGTCCCGATCACTTGAACAGAACAAAGAAGAAGATGGAGAGTAGATTGAACCCTCGCTGACGTGTCGGAACTTCACACCGCAACGCTCACTCCGGAGGATGTTCTTGATCAACAGCCCAACAGGACACGGGTTCGATACCTTTGATACAGATGTTGGAATGCGTGTGTCGGTCGGTCGGCGTGTGTGTGGCGGTGTTTTCCTACAGAGGAGGAAACTTCACAGTTGGTAAGTGTTTCAATTTCAGCTCATTTTAAAAGCATCCTGGGAGCGCAGCGGGAGAGGGTTCGGGGGGGGGGGAGAGGGAGGGGTTGGAGGGTGGTTCCTCCTATAAAAATCCAACAATCTTCAGTGTCACAGAAGCGCCTATGTTTACCAGACTTTACGTTCGCACACGGCAGCTGTAACGAGGAAAAGTGATTGTGGTTCCAGTTTTATGGACCATAAAGGACACCAGATAACTGGGTGCTGGTGTTTCTTTAAACTTGTTAAGTTTTTTGGGGTTCTAATAAAGTCATCTTAAAAAAAAAAGAAAAACGTGACATGAACGTAGGACGTTAGAAACCCAGAACAATAATGAACCGGAATTCTCTGAAGAACCGGGTGCAGAGTGGAGTAGAAGTGATACCGCGGTACTAAGTACTACACAGTACTACACATTAACGACAAAAACGTAGCCCCCCCCGCAGTAGCCCATCTGGGGTCCACATGGGCTAACTTGGTGAAACGTTGTCATCAAGGTAAATTGGTAGTAATCCTTTGCAGTAAGCCTTTGTAGTACTCTGTACTACCGTACGAGGTTATCAGGTTCCTTAGAGATAGTTTTTTCAATGTTTTTTAAAAAAAATTCAAATATTACAATTTTTTGGGGGGGCAATATTAATTTGCCCTAATCTTGCAATAATCAATATTCAATATTTTTAGGAAGTATTGCAGACGAAAATACTAATAATTTTTCTAATTTTTAATATTGAAGAACTCATCGCCTTATAGACCCAGGGGACCAAAAACCTGTACTGTAGTATTTCTGCATGGTGCAGTATCCTGTAGTAATTGTACAGGCTGTAGTATCCTGTAGTAATTCGTCAGGGTGATACAGTTCAGAGGTACTTCATCTCGGCTCCGGCGCCACCTTGCTGTACTTTTGGGTTTGGATCTGACGAGTACCATAATTGTTCCAAAGCCTCAAAAAAGTAGAAAAAGAATCAAAGAAGAAAAAGAAAAAAAAACGATCCGTTTGGAGAAGAATGTGTGAAACCCCGAGGCCTGACGCCAGGTACAACACAGAGTGTGTACTCGGTGTGTACTTCACGTCCCTGACTGTGTACAGCAGTGTGTTTTAACCCTTGGTTTCTCCACAGACGTCTGGTTTCACTCTGTTGTTCTTTCACACCGGAAGACAAACATTCACCCTAACATTGACACTAGCATTGACGTTAGCATTCACGCTAACATTCACGCTAACATTGATCCTAACATTCACGTTAGCATTCATGCTAACACTCACGCTAACATTCACGCTAACATTCACGTTAGCATTCACGCTAACATTCACGCTAGCATTCACACTAACATTCAAGCTAACATACACGCTAACATTCACGCTAACATTCACACCACCGGTCAATTCGGCTTTTGACCGGTAGTAAAGTGTAGTTACTGCAGTAACAGTTGACGGGACACACTGTAAGGCAGGAACACTAACCGCCTCGCCACCGTGTGACCTCCTGCAAACCAACCTCCTCCACACACACACACATTTTCTCTCTTTCGCACACACACACACCTTTCTCTCTCTCTCTCTCTCTCTCCCCCTCTTTCTCTCTCTCTCCCCCTCTCTCCCCTCTTTTCTCCCGAGCCTCGGAGCTCTGACTTCTCCCGGTCCCAGCAGCAGTTCGTGTCCCTCGGTTCTGTTAGAATTATAATTTTTATTTTTTATTATTTTTATTAAAATGAGGGAGTTCTCCTCTGAGGTTCTGCTCCGGAACTTTCTCCGTCTCTCTCTCCTCCTCACCTTCCTCCTCCACCCGGCTCCCGCCCACCAC